GCCATTTGAACAACATACATATCATAATGGTATTTTTATTTTGGCCGCCGCATCCATCGGCGACCAATCGAAGTGTATCTATTCCCTCTAAGTTATTATTGTTTAAAGTGTAAAAGACGCAGCTTGCGATTTCGTTGGCGCCCTTGGCATGTTCATCTTCACTCCACGTGAAAATTTTAACATTATCTTTTGTTAACGGAGCATGTGAGTACCCCACTACAGTAGTGAAGTTGTAAATGTACAGTTGTCTACTATAATAGGTACTTTGATCTGGTATTTTGGGCAATACAAAGTTTTTCTGACAATCAAAAGAAATTGTCAGAAGGCCGTCCCGTTTCTCTTTTAGCTGTTCAAAAAATGCTTTGGCCCTGNACTTTATGAACAGAACCCAAGGATATACCAGTTGCACGAGATACCTGACGCAATGAAGTATTGGGGTTGATACCGAAATGACCCAACACTTCCTTGAGCGGTTTCATTCAAAACTCTCGACTCATGATGTTTTATGTTGGCAACGGACCCAGTCTGAGTGAATTTCTTCATGATCTGGATGCCTTTCATTAAAAACTGCGGCAGTTCGGTCGAGCACATTCATTTTGGGATCCATACATTAATACAATGGGGTCATACACACTTATTAAATTTAGAGAAAATTTTTACGTCAAACGATATATGCAAGTATATGCATGAACACAAAGTAAAAGAAATATTTTGATCAATTTTATATTTTGCGTAATTTGAAGTGAAAAATAGCAAATATTCAAACGAAATAATTTCGCGGCTTTTCTGTGACGTAGGAACCGCACTGCCTAAAACAAGTTAAATTGTCCGTTAGATAGCGCTTGCGGTGTGACAGTGTCAAAATAAAACCATGGATGTAATACAGTGTCTCTATTACATCCATGAACAAAACATAATAAACATAACCTACAAACACTCTATCTCTTTTCAATACAACCTAAATGACGTTCATCTCTTTCTCGCATTTGAGCGGGGAGCAGGGGACGCAAAAGTGAGAATCGTACGTCATCAACGCGGGAATTTTAAAAGCGCAAATGGGTATATAAATTTTCAATAATTTTTTTAACAATGACTTTGTTCGAAAATATTAAAAAAAAAAATAACGGTAACTATATTTTTATATAAACTTTCAGAAAATATAATAAAAAAAAAATCGTGTATGACCCCATTAAAATAATCGATTTTGTTCTTGAAATCGATAAGTTTATTGCAAAAANTGGGATCCATACATTAATACAATTTCAATCCTTTCCTGCAAACTGTAAACCATTATTGCTGTTTTATTTAAATAACTTTGTTAAGTGGATAACACAAAGTTGTTTAAGTAATAACCAAATAAACTTATGTTTAGAATTGCACTTTTATTTTATTCTTTTCTCGCACTGTGAGCCTGCCTATAACTCGTTTATAGAAAGAGAAAAATTTCGTCTCTTTTTTTCCTTTTTTTGGCCATTCGAGTCAAGAGTAATTTTCATACAGGTTTAATGTAAAATACTTTCAATAAAATTTAGTTTAATTCATAATTATACGTGTTTAGTTTTCTTAAAGATTTCCGATTGCTCCGAAATAATAAAGGTTTAATGGTCGTTGTAAAAACGAACATGGTAATTTAATTTTATAAATTAATAATAAAAGATTACTTATTCTTGCTTTTAAGAAGGTGATTAAAGTTTTTAATATTAATTAAAGCGGGAAATACAAAACAAAGATTTTCGCAAAAATTTCGAAAACGAATCGATCAATTTAAAAAAAATAAATACTAACATGTAGTACCTTAAAAGACCTTTAAAATGAGGTATCACTTGACACCCCTTTCCATTTCAGATTTTTAAGGGGTTGGTTTCTGGCGGCGGGGTGTTGAAGTGAGTGAGTCAATTTTTGCATAAAAAGTTGTCCCCCTTGGTTTTATTCTTTACCTATTTCAGCGATTTTCTTTTTAAACTTCCGGATTTACAGAAATTGAGTTGAAAAGTTTTGAAATGAACACCCTGTATATTAAAAGAAATGCAAATCGATAAATGTTCGAAGAAGACTTGCCACATTGCCAAAACGAAGACGCAATAATCAAAACGTGAATACAGAATAATTTTGGTTCCGCTTTATTTTAACTTTTACGTAAATTTCAATTGAATTTCGCAGACAAATACAGCCAATTACAAACTGATTAAACTGAATAATTGATTTATTTACATAATAATTTCATTTCCATGGCTTCTCAAACCAAGATGAATTGACTTTAAAGTTTCTCGTTTAAAAGCGAATTCTTCCTTCATTTTACATCTAACTTTGATTTCATTATCTCGTTGTTCTCAATCGATTTTTGAAACCTTTGTCGCTCTTGTTCTTTATCCGATAAACACTTAAAATAAGATTTTTTTTTATGTTATACGTGTTCTTTAAGGGGGAAAATAATCTAGTAAAACATATTTTTAGAAACATTGTGCGTCGTGGGTGAATGGCAACAATCGATAATAACCGGTGAGAATTCTTAATTCTTTGTAAATAATACAAGAAAAAGAAGTTATTGATTTCGCTTTGTTAATTTGCACTTTTATTACGTTTCTTTTTTTTTACCTGAACTTGGTCTTGTTCCCCTGCGTATTCGATACTTTGAAAAATGGTCCATGTATATCTTCTTCTAACTTCCATTCTCGCCAAATATCTCCTGTACCAACGTTGGATCAAAATTGCGGCTTTCATTGCTGTTGAATAAAGAAAAATAAAATCTAAATTAATTTTCTGATATTTAACCTTAAGATTAAATTTGAAACGTTAAAAAGGATTTTAATCGCCCTCTCTTGTAAATATCTTCCAATGCTTCCTCGGTTTATTTCCGAGGGGATATAACGGGTTTTGCTCGTTTTCCTTTTGTCGGACCTTCCGAACCGTAAAAGGAACCCATCTCGGACGATAAACTGTGCTCTACGGAGTTGTAATCGAGTATACGTCGACTTTCACGAGGAAAACTCGTTGAAATTTTACTTTCGCACCACGGCAACAACAAAAAGTTAAAAGAAAGTACATAAAAAAATAAATAGTAGTGTATGAAATAAATAAATCATGTTATCAACGGGTAAATTGGGAGTGAATTTTAATTTCCGGTTGTCCAATACTCTAATTTAACTAATTTCCCAATTTCCGATTTGAAATGATTGGAAATTTGATCGATGGCGTGGTGTATGTGGGGGAATATTATTGACTTACTTATTTCAATTTTGGTCATGTTGTATTTCTCGATTTTCTTTAAACCAAAACAAACATTTTTCGGTCTCCAATTGCTAAAGAGACCGCCGGTTTTTCCACTTTTATTATTTTCGATTTTATTCACGGTATTTCCTGACGCTTCTTCTCCTTCTGAACAGCTCGAATCATCTCCGTATGCAATTTTCTTCTTGTAGTACCGAAAACAACAAACGGTTTTCGGCATTTTTGGGTTTTTCTTTTCAAATTTTCCGACATAAATCTATAACAAAATATTTTTTTTAGTATAAACTTAAAAATGAAATTTCGCATTGCAATTTTTTGATGTTTTAGGAAACATTGAGCATTATTACGACGACATATTCATTAATCTTGTTGAAACGACACGTTCTGGTTTACATTTTGTAACTAACCAGGTACTACTAGAAATGGAGAGAATTGAGAATGGAAATTTCTGGAAATGGAAATTTCGTATTCCAATTACGTTATCTCGTATACTAGTCAAATTGAATCCCGAAAACCTATTATAAATTATAATCATTTTAACACGTTTAATTACAATGAAATCTTTCCATTTTAAAATCGTTACTTTGTGTCTCGGTTTTTAGGAAATAAATTAAACTATTCGAAACCCGCACTAAAATGTCGAAAGGTCAAACGGGTTCGTATTTTCTTTTTGTTATACAAAATAGTTCGATCGTGTAATTTTGTTTTCCACACTGAAACGAGTGCCGTTCACCCGAGCTACATTTTTTTTCTGATTCAATTCCTTCGCTCGTCCGGATAAAATTGATGATAACCTCTAGGGAAAAGGGTATCCCTTCCCATCCTTCCCTTCCATTCAATAAATACCGGAAATTAGGATATTTTTCAGTTCCTTGGAAGGATAATTCGTTTTAATCCTCAAAATACAAATTGAGAAACCTTTCAAATTAATAATATTTAGGTTCTGCAGAGTAAATTTAAAACATTAGTCAAAATCTGCACTCATTATTAAATAAAGCATCCTTTTCATTATATATTTTATAAATCCCGACGTAATTTCAAATAAATTCATTTACAAATCGATTTTCGCAGATTTTTAAAGTGAATGAAAGAAAACTTGCTGCCTTGGTAATTGTTATAAATTACGATTTAGTTCAAAAATTTCTCTCTCAAGAATGAATCGAAATTTTTTACAGCGGGTTTCACCACTTTAAAGATTACGCTTTTCTTTGCAAGTGGAAGTAGTTTCAGAAAACTTTATTAATAAACTGATTTTCCACAAATTTTTAAAGAAACAAAGAATCATGAAAGAAGGTCATACTTTTCCTTACAAGTAGAAGAAATTTTAGAAAAATTCATAAATAACAAGGTACGACTGAAAAATAATAAATAAACGACTGAAAATAAAACTGCACTTTATGACAAAATTAACAAAACATTTAATACAAAAATTAACATTCATTATAATATTTATTATAAGAAAACAATTTTTCCAGTCTTTTCAACACCTAACTTGTTTCGTAAAGTGGAGTGAGTTGATGAACAAACTTCCACCAGGGGGAAAGAAAAGTACACTCGAGATAATGCACACAGCACATCCGGGATTGATGCGGATGAAATCGCTGGCCAGATCGTATATTTGGTGGCAGGGTTAGAAGACTTGGTGAGAAATTGCAAAAGATACCAAAATGCGTAGAAATCAACCAGGAAAAGCGCCAATCCATCCGTGGGAGTGGGCAAAAACTCCATGGTCGAGAATACACCTCGATTTTGCAGGACCAGTTAATGGAAAGTATTTTTTGGTCGTGGTGGCCTATTCAGAATGGTTAGAAGTTCAATAAGTTTCCGTTACAGTTCTGAAGGAATTATTTGCGACACATGGATTACCAGATGTTGTGGTATCAGATAATGGAACTACATTCACGTTTAAGGAATTTAAAGAATTTCTTCAGAAGAACCTAATTAGACAAGCTTTGGTTGCATTACCAGCAGCAATGGTCAAGACTAGTGCAAGCATTGAGGAAAATGTCAGAGTGAGAATTTACAAGTATTAATGGCCAGATATTTTTTACTTCAATATATTACACCGAGTTCAACAACGGGGAGATCACCAGCAGAGATGCTTATGGAAATAAGGTTATCATGTCCATTGGCCCGAGTTAAACCAGATTTCACTAAGAACATGAAAAACAAGCAAGAAGAGAAGTGTTCAACAACATCGCCAAGAATGTTTACTTTAGACAATTCAGTGTTCATGAGATCGTATGGAACACGGGAAAAGTGTCAACATGCAGTAGTAACCGAAGCCAGTTGCTTCGACTTAGCTATAAAGTCCAAACACGAGATTGAAAACAACATAAAAGACAACTGAGAGAGAAGAGCCTAAGGTTGGAAAATGCAGAAGTAAAGCCATTACTGGAAGAACAAGCAGTTGCACAACCAACCGAACCTTTTATTAGGATAAATGAAGATAAACCAGAAACTACACGCCCAATTAGTTGCCAATTAGTTAAGTTCTAGGGCTGTGTGAGAACTGTTATGCGCCTAACCTCCATGTAGTAAAAAGATTCATATATTATTAAAGAGTGTAAATCATACGTGTAACTTTTATTGCCACTCGATACACCACACTGGTAAAAAATTGTAGGAATTTTATTTAATTAGACACACAATAAAGAAGTTGTGTCTTGTCTTTTTATCAGTTTATTATAACCTTCACCAACACACCTAGAAATTTCACATTAAGTTTTAGGCTTGGCCCCAATTATGCCCGTTTTATCGCTACAATGTCTCCGACCTGGTATTTCGTTGACTTCTTTCTTCTTTCGTTGTATAACGAATCTTCATATTTTCTTGTTGAATCTGGGATATCTGATTTCTTGTCCGTTTTTTAAGTTCTCTCCTGTCTTCTTCAAAAGTCTTCACTATTTCTTCCTCCAGTCTCTCTTCCTCTCTACTTCTCATCTTCATACCGAATAATAATTCGAATGGCGTCATTCCAATACTGCGTTGATAGGATGAATTGATAACTTCTTGAACCTTATTAACGTGCTTATACCATTTAGGTGCGGAAATTGCCAATTTAGTCAAGATGCAAATGACTATCCGGTTAGTGGAAGTCCACTTGAAGCAGAATGATGAGTCACGCCTTGTTCTGTGGAATAATCTTTAAATTCTTTTGAGGTAAAAGGTGGGCCCTTGTCTGATATAATCTGATATAGGTTTCCAAAGAACCTCCTTTACAGTTCCAATTTTTGAATAACTTCCCTTATAGTTGCTGATTTGACAGAATAAAGCCAAACATAATTCGAAAAACTGTCAATAACGACCAGAATATGATTGTAGTTCTTACTTGTAGAAGCTAGTGGCCCTAAATGGTAAGTGTGAAGTGGGATATCACCTTTTTCCAATGGATGTACAAAACCTTCTTTCTTTTCCATCTAAAGTATAGGCTATGATGTAATGGTTAGACGTAAGTGTCTGCCTACACCATTTAACAAAAACTTTCATTTGTACTGATGATAATTTTTCTTCCAGTAATGTATTTAATTCTTTCCAAACTTCCACTGCATCTGAAACTATAGCATTCTTTTTTTTATAGTTTGTCAAGTGTTATAGTTATAGGTATTAAGATATTCAAATAATCTTCCGTTGAGCTTTTGAGACTAATGTTTGAAACTTTTTTGTATATTGTTGAGTCTATTTCCTTTTTATGCCTTATATGCATAAACGGTAACCCAGCTTTTGACCATGGTGTATTACATACACGGCCAAGGAGCATATTGTTGTATTTTACAACATTCTCAGAGTAAGTATGCCAAATTTTAATTTTTTTGTTTAAATTGTGGCAAAATACCGGTTTTATGGTGATAATTACAAAAAAACGCAATAAAATATAGTATTCCATTTAAAATAACGAAGTTGGTAGACTTCGGTAGACCGGAAGTGGTGAATATCTTAAGAATATTTTTTAAGTCTTTTTAAGTTGCAGTAGATCTAAGTCCTGGGTCTTCTTCCGGGATAAGGAAGATATGACCGTGGATTGGAGAATTACGGTGAAAGAAGGAATCGTGGAACGAAGAATTGGATTTTGGAAGGATTTACTTGAATTCGCCATTTATTAAAGTGGCGTCGTCAACGTAGAATATGCATACGAGTTCAAATCAAAAGTATCTGGGTTGTCATTGCAGATATCGCAACAAAACACATTGTAGAGTGTCGGGGAAGACACGAGAGAAGCGGTTTTTTCAGTTTTCCTACTGAAGATTCATCTTATTAAGCTTGTATAGGAGTCTTCGATGCTACAGTGAATCGAACGCTTTTTGGATATCCAGGAACCCTGCCACATAATGACGTTTATAGAAGTTACTTGTTACTTGAAAGTTGGAAGTCAGCATAACCAGAGCGTAGAACGTAGATCTATAGAAGATTGAAAGCCAAACTGATATCTTGTTTTTGATGTGTTTCCACGATCTTGCCAATGACGGGAAGAACGGAGATAGGACGATAGTTTGACGGGTCAGATAGTGATGATTCTTTTTTGGGAACAAAAATTATAACGGAGGTCTTCCAATCTTCGGTGAAATGTCCGAAAAGGCATTAGTTTAAGATTTTTCTTCTGTAGGTATGAGTAGGAGGATTTAGCTTTGTTAGGATATTTTTTGGTAACATGATTGTACTCAGGAGCGGTGCTAGTTCCTTTAGTTAGGATTGGGAAAATATTATCAAAATTAGTCGAAGATGCGAATTGGCGAATGTGTTTGGTTGTTACAGGATTTGGATTATAATCCCTATAAATAAGCAGTTACCATGCACAGAGAATTGATTCTTCGTACATGGCCACGACTACTCCTCTAACGCATCTATTAATAACGTTGCCTGCTTTTTCAACCACTCTCCAGTCCTAGAACTTTATTGTTCCTTTAGATTTTGTCTCAACAAACATTATGCAGTTGATGCGGTTGACATTTATATAGTTTCCAATTATGAGATTTTGGATGGCAGCTATTAATGTTTGCGTATAGCAATCGTAACTCAGTCATTGCAGCTTCTGTAGAATAGTGGATTAGGAGCCATGGCTCGAATCGGTGGGAGACAATTTGGAAAACGGTTCATTTTACATAAAAATGAACCAAATTAAAGTTGTTCTATGTGAAGAGGGAAACCATATGAGGATAACGTTTTTTGACTTTGACCTTATTTTCAAGGTTATATGAAGGTCACGACCAATTTTTTAAATGGCACCCTACATATTTTATTGTAAAATCTGAATCTGTG